GAAAGGAAGGAAGGAGGGAGAGCAAAGAAAAAAAAGTGCGTCAATTTGAGGGGCGCCTTGGTATTGCTAATTAGTATTCGCCAATTTTAAATTGTTGTTTTGAGATTGTTGTGGAAGAAAAATTCCAATTTTGGTTGGACCTAAAGTCGCACGATTTAATTATGTTCGCAGTGCAAGTTGCGAACTTGCTCGACTGTGTAGTGTACTGACTCGCGCAACAAAGGGTGACTATAACGTAGCTGCAGTTGTTGTTTGATGTAGTCCCTTAGGTAGGGGATGTCAAGGTCTCTGTGAAGGGTCTCGTTGGAGACATACCATGGGGCGTTAGTGATTGTACACAAGGTTCTGTTCTGCAAAACCTGCAGGCTACGCAAACGCGTTTTGGCGAGAAAACACCAAGCCGAACTTGCGTAAGTGATCGCTGGTCTAATAACCATCTTGTATAGCCGACCTTTGTTGATCAAACTTAATTTTGATGTTGTGAGGGTAGGGTTGCCGAAACGAGATTTGTAATTTAGTTTTTAACGCTTCAGTGTGCTTCTGCCAGGTCATCCCCTTGTCAAGAGTGACAACGAGATACTTAGCAGAGCTTTCCCATGGTACCCAAGCTCCATTCACTGAAACCTCAAACGGGGCGACGTTTTTTAGTGCAATAGATTGCCTGCGTTTTCAATTGATTAATTTTGATCAGTCACCGATTCGCCCATTCGAATACCTCGTCCACTGCACTTTGCAGCCTGTCGTCAACTAGATCCCCAGAAGACTACTGGGCCACCTGGGCAGTGTCATCAGCATAGATATAGATTTCACAGTTGCTGGAGCAAGGGACGTCAGGAATAAAAAGTGAATAAAGGACTGGTCCAAGAACCGAACCCTGAGGGACCCGGCTTTGATGGGCCGTGTTGTCAACAGAGCGTTATTAATTTTGATACAAAATTTCCTACCCTCGAGAAAGGATTTCAAAAGTTTTAGGAGCCAGAATGGGAAGCTCTTATGGATCAATTTGTAGAGAAGGCCCTTGTGCCACACCTTGTCAAGTGCCCTTGAGACATCCAGAAGCAACAATCCTAATGGCCTGTAGCTCCGTACTATGCTCAGGCCGAAAGCCAAATTGCACGTCAGGAATCGCATTGTGGTCTGACGAGAAATTTTCAAGCTGACGTGGAATCACCTTTTCAGCGAGCTTGGAAGGAGCTGACAGTAGACTAATGGGGCGGTAATCCTGAGGAAATATCGAACCCACCTTCTTTGTAATCATTATGACATCAGCGGTCTTCTACGCCGCTGGGAAGTGCTGGGTCCTTAGCATGGCATTCATTATTGCCACGAGATAAGTTAAGGACTTCCGCGAAAGTAGCTTCACAGGCTTATTAGTGATTCGACCCTCTCCAGGAGCTTTACGCACCTTGAGGTCTTTAATATGACCTTGAAGCTCTGCTGGTGTGCAATGCGGAGATCCCGCTGATGTGCCATGCAGCTCTTCAGCTGAGGAATCTTCTGAAGATTCCTCTGAGGAAAATTCACTTAGGGTGGCACTACTGACACTGACGCCGTTGGCTCTAAAGTACCTCCTGACGGATCTTAAGATATTTTGCTCCTCGTCGAGGTCATTGTCAAGGTCATAGTTGGGAGAAATCTGACTTTCCATTGCATCAGCGAAAACCTCGACCTTTTCCTCTGTCCCACAGACTATGCCCCCAGGGCCGTGGATGTGCGGAAGTTGTTCTCGCTTTCCGTTTCTGAGCGACTTTAAAACTTTCCAGAGAGGAATACTTGAGTCAAGCATCCCTGGCAGAAAGTCACTCCATTGCTCATTACGGAATTCACGAAGAGTATTTCTTACTTCATGAACAAGGTTCGTTGCTCTGTGTATGTCATCTGGGTGCAACACCTCTTCGCTTGCTTAATTGCAGCTCTTTTCTCAGAAATTTTCTGACCAATGTCTGCAGGGAGAGTAAATACTGCTATCAGATTCACGAAGAAGCAGTATCGTACGTAATGGGTATGACGGGAAACATTTAATAATACAGTTTGGGCATGGGATTTTCCATTAAAAAGGTACCTGACGTCAAAGGTTGGATGACGTATATGCGGAATTGACATGACTGAAACAAATGATCGAAAGTTAGGATGTTCTGCTTTAATGCAAAGTCCTCCTCTTAGTGCCTTATCGTCAGTCATTCTTACAATTGTAGGACGCCTTTATTGACTCCTTGATCTTCGTAGTCTTTTCTCTCCTTCAAAAAGGCCGTGTCAGCGTCAGCGTTCTCCTATTCTCTCTGAATTGTAAGAAACTTCAGGCTGATGATGAACAATTTGATGCAAATAGATATTTGTAACATAACCTCAAAATAGAGCTCTGCCACAGGCCATAAAAGCGTCCGGAATTGAGGGAACGACGAACCTGAATCACCTTAACGATTCTACTCCAAGACTTTCTAAGCAACCGTGGGAATAATGGAACATTCTCATAAATTATATCCGATCATATCCCATCCGCAATCCAAATCGAACAGATAACGCGGTCAGCAGACGTCTCTCCTTCTTGTTTATATAGCGAGAGGTGTGCGAGTAGCTGTCACGGCCAGACATGACTACCTCACGTCCGAGATCCGAGATTCGGTTTGTTGTTAAAGGAGAAAAACGACATGCACATTTTTCCAATCAGGTGGAGAAGCACTAAAACAATTGCAGCTTTCGACGTTAAAGCAAATTGTGGCTATCTCCTTTAGTGCCAGACTACACTGCGTAGTTTTATTTTCTACTGAATATCCACAGCTAAGTTTAACAGCTTCAATTTTTAAAACCAATCTCTAGAGGTGATGGATTCCTTAACTGTTTGCGAGAGGAATTGATGCACGCATGAGAGGTAGTACTAATTGATAATAATTTGGTCTTTTGTTGCAGATGTAAAGGTAGATAGCTATATAGAATCGTTTGTGCGGCCCATAACATTTGCAATAACAAGGTGAACGGTATTACACAGTGGCTGCTCGTGGCAAAATAAAACAGGTGTTCTGCAAATCCGAACTAACCTATTTTTTTTATGTCAGTTCGATCCTGAGCTCCTTCTTGGCAGCAAATCTGTCGATCACCATCCCGTTGAAATTTTCCATGGTCGAAATAAATTCATTTTCAATGGTCAGCATCGATAACGCAGTAAGGCGACCCTGGGTCGTATTACGAAGAAAAGTCTTGATTCTTTTCAATGTTGAGAAATCTCGCTCAGCCTCTGATGTTGACATGGGAGTTGTAACAATAATTTCTAAGAGCTTTTTTGTTTCTTTTAGTGTTTCCTCCAAACTATTTTGTATCAAAAGTTTCAAGAAACAGAACTCCATGTAAATTTCGGCAATCATTCCGTGCATAGATAACAGACAAAGTCTTCACAGTCTTTAAGCGACTTTTTTCTAATTCGGGATAGGCCAAGCAGGTAATTTCTTATCAGGAAACTTACCACAGTATTCTCCAGAGTATTCTCCAAATCTGTCATTTGCAGAATTTACCATATTGTCGCATACTTCTAATGTGGCATCTCGATGATCGTAATTGCTATTATTACGTCGTCTCCTTTTGTTGCCTTGGGGTTCGGTGCAAATGTCGACGTGAGACATGACATGATGAAAAAATGTCAACCAAAACACGAAAACAGAATCGTTTAACATACGGCGAATACCGCAAGCTGCCTTGCAAACGGTTTCGATAGTGAATTTTTTTTCTATTTCTTACATGCATTCAATGATTCTCTGTTCTCAAACACTACATTTATTGTTCGAATATTAAAATTCCAACGAGTTGTGGCTCCTTGAGGAATTTTTTCCCCACAATTCTGTTCAGTACCTCTACGCGTTGAGGAGAATTATTAAAGAATCTCGGAATATCTTTCAAATCCCCAAAGAACACCCGAATTTGAGCATTTGCAGAAGCAGCTTGGGACATAATCAGGCTTAACTGATGCGCATAGCAATGCACATAGTGCCTGTACTCCAGCATTATGTCCGCTCATTACCGTGGCTCCATCATTGCTTTGTGAAATCAGTTTGTTAGGGAAAATTCCTATTAATGGATCTACCACGCTCAAAATGCCTTGTGAGAGTACCAGCGTCACATTTTTCGGTATTCATATAATTCGAAAAACATTCTACTGGTTCGCTGTTGAATACGTATCTGAAAATTGTTACCAGTTGGGTTTTCCTCGAAATGTCCGTTGTTTCATCTGCTATTATTCGCTCTGTTAATGTGCTTTATTATTTCTTCATGACAAACTTCAATAATACAATCCAGTAGATCGTTTTGTATTTCTTTCGAAGTTTCTTTAAATATTGAAGCATTTTTTATGTGTTCGCTTGAGGTTGTATCAAGCTCAGCAGAAAAATTAATCAGTCCACGAAGTATTTCCGGGTTTTGGGAGCTCTCGGTTTCGTCGTGGCCCTGAGCCGACAATTCAAATGCTCCGCAAAATTTTATACCGAGCACCGACCGACCAACCAGATATCGTACTTCGCATTAGATCTATACGGATCTGTCTAACGTGCAGCACATCCTTATGCTTAAATGGCGTATTTGATTTTGTAGAGAGACAAAAAAGCAAGCGCATGCGGCTTGGTGTGGAAGTAGTGCACATATCCTTTTCAAGTGGCCCATGAATAATATTACGCTGCGGTCGCGACGAAAATGACAAGTATACAATTGGTCGATTATACTGCTTTCTCAATACAAAACAGACTCGACGCTGTGTCTTGCGGGGGCAGCGTTGCCGGTATTGTTTCTACTTGTGTGATAACATGGAAAATAAATAATAATCAAATTACTACTGCTTTTTTCTGTTAAGACAAAAGTTTTGGCAGTTCTGCAGCTCTACAGAACCTAAGGCCTAGCCGCCCTGGTATTACATCATCTAATTGGGCAGTTAAGAAGCTGTAAACCGACTGATAAAAGGAAATTATGAGGACCAAGCTGTCTATGCCGTCAGTGTCTATTGTACTTACATATATGAAGCGCTATGTTGATGTAGACTTACCTGGAAAAAAAACCTCAATTAGTCAAGTATACGAGAGGAATCTTAGGAGCTACTCGTTGAACAGTTTTTACAATAAGATTTTGTTACATCTCAAGGCATACGAGTATGCGTGAAAAAAAAGGGTTGTTCGGTTCATTTTTGGAAACGATATTCGGTTGGAGAAGATTTTGCTTTCCATCCTAACAATAACAGCCTCGTCCTGCAAGTATTATCCAAATATACATATATGCTGCAGTTCACATTGTGCTTTGTGGTTGCGGACTACTCAAGAGGAATAAATTAATGCATGATATTTTGAGCTTTCGTGTTTAGCACTCAACCATACTCATCCGCCATTCAAACAACCGCTTATACACAAACAACAAGCTGGGAGTTCCAGAACAGTGGCGTAGCTGGAGCGAGAAGAAACAGCAATGGAAAAGTGCGAAATGGATTTATATTCTAGAAACAAGAAGCACCTAGCGTTTGCCTAGTTTTGATGGATGGCCGAGCTCTGCAAAGGGCCATTCGTTCCGGCTGGTTGAGTCAAATTCAAATTCAACTCCAAATCCTTTATTTTTCTGTTGTTATTATAGGAGTTGTCAATATTACTTAAAACTAGAGACAAAAGAACGGTAAAACTGCAGTAAAATAAAACAGGTGACAGTAAGAACAAATGTTCCACATCTAAAACATTAAAAATGCGTTTCAACACTAGAAAAACACTGATCGATTAGAAACCTTCTTGTTTTTGACTTTACCTTATCTGGTAGGTTATTGAAGTTTATTAATTCCAAGTAATTTGGTAATACTTGGCTGCATTTATATCTGAAAACAGATAAGTAATTGGCTAGTAGACCATTTCTACATTCAGCCAGAATCATCAGCCATCTAGCGGCACGGCTATCAAACGGGAACTGAGATCCATGACAGTTCCGACTAATAGCAGCGGTGCGCGGTCCGCAATGGTTCGACTCTGGAGCGATAGATGGCGCTACGCGCTATCTCATGCAGGTGTGTAATTGTTTCCAAAACAGAATACTTATTCATAAAAACTCATAAGTGGCTATTTAAGTATATACAAAGAAGTCAGTGACAGTTCTCCGAACATTTTAAACAGTACCCAACCCCAGTGGCGGCTACATACGTTTGCTAAACTTTGCATGACATTTTTCTAGCATGTGGCAAATACCATTACGAAGTCTAGACTCAGTGAGCTCATAATAGATATTCAATAAATCAGGACAAGCTAAAAACAATTCTTAAATTTTAAAAAACGCATGCTTAAGAGAATGATGATTTAAATAGCTGCTGGTAGTAGCTTGTCTATCTTAATCACTCATCAATAAAGGCTCCGAGAAAGAGGATCGGTCCCAGTATAGTACCCTGTGGCACACTCTTCTGAATTGGGATGATGTTAGAATACATGCCGTGCCGTTGGACTCAAAACTGTCAGATAAATAGTGCCTCCGGATCTCAAAGAAGAGCCTATACATTTTTGAGCAACTCTTATACCATAAAATTCGAACGTATTGAGTTATACCTGATTATTTACGCTGTCAAATGCCCCACTTAAATCACAAAAAATAGCAATTCGTCGATCTTCCTTGCTGAAAACCATGTTGCCTATTGGTTATTACCTTGAACTTGCTCAAAAAATCCATCAAGCGATCTAAAAATGCATATTTTAATGCCTTAGACAAATATAGTTACTGCTCTATAATTCTTTATCAACGTTCGCTCTTTTTTTCTTATACCGTGGAATTACTGTGCCTGTTTTTATTTAGCTAGGCAAAAAAGTCATATTTATGAGGTATGTAAGTAGTTCCATTGTCAGAGGAAGATTTATTTAAATTAGGAAAGCCGGTATGTCATCTGCACTAGCTGATTCTAGATCGCCGAGGATCTGTGACACGTCTATATCGAAAAATCTCAAGACACTTTCGCATCGAGGGACAATCGATGACCCGGCTCGCCTCTGCCGATATGTCAACGGGCTTTGCCACATGATGCCGCTACGCCCGCCAGTGTTATCCTGCCGAAAACTTTAGATATGAGACCTCAGGGTAAGGTTCTTTGTACCTTGGATTTTGAATGCCAAGCCCACCTAGTCTCAAAAACTAGGAAATGAAATGACAATGGAGCTAAGGACACACAAGCTCACAAGGCACACAGACATTTATTGAATTATTGAATTAGAAAATTAAAAAAAAAATACAGAGAAGTCCTGGAGGACGGGCTAAGAAAATTATTTCCATAGGAATAAACTGAAAAATTTCAAACTAAAAAAAAAGTCCTTGGCTATCCCCGAACTGCAACCGAGTTCAAGAACTCCCAGATGTTAGAAGGTGATGTAGGTACAACCCTAAATAGAAAAAAAAAATACTTGTCAAAGTAATAACTCGAAATCACGATTTGGCTAGTAATCCGTTTAATTTGCTTCCAAGGATTAAAAATTTAACTTTAACTTGTAACCATACAGTCTTGGGTTAGATCCATTCAAATATTTAAATGATCCTGAACTAAATTAAAATTATGAGATACTTGTAAGAAACATAAGGACCCGGACGTAAAATATTTCATGCCTTCCCTCAGATTGTAAGTAAAGCAGTCAAAATGTAACTTGAGAACCACTGGAATATTTTACCTTGTGAGCATGTCTCTCAAGTTTCAGTAAAGCTGCCGCTATATAAAAATAACACTACATTATTCTCAGTGTATGTACTATGATACAAAACAAGGTATAAAGCATCCCACAAACCGGCGCGAAATATTCGCTTTGGCTGCGAAAATTTCGCGGCGATGAATTCGCGATCAGATTAAAACGCGGCGGTTTACGGACAGGCTCAGACTTGTGCGAAGCGAATGCGATTGTTCCAGCGTTTTTATCGCGGCGTATTTCAGTTCGACTTTGACCGCGTTTTTGACGCCGTTCTTCAAAAATTCGCAATGGCAAAAACGGAATTATTGATAGAAATAGTGAAAAAGTATCCTTGTTTGTATGATTTGTCGAACGATGAATACAGGAATGTGAGAAAGAAATACAAGATTTGGATGGAAATAGGAAAAGAATTAAATACAAATGGTATATACCTAATATTTTTTATTAACTTGTTAAATAATTTACAGTCTACACAAATGTAAAAACGAACATTCTATATATTGAGCATAGACATATCAGAATTAAAATAATTTACGAATTTGTCACGAGTAGAAAATGCTAGCCTTGCTGCCCGCCGAGGATCATTTGCTATATCAGTAAAAGCTCCAAGCACGGGTTCTGAGGGATCTAAGAATTGAAAATATTTGTCATCGCCACTTTTACTTCGTAAAAAATTGTGTAAAACACATGCCGTACGTACGATTAGAATAGTAGTATCTACTTTAGTTTCTAATGGCCTGTAAAATATTCGCCATTTTTGAGACAAAATACCAAACGCATTTTCCACGACCCTTCTAGCTCGACAAAGTCTTACATTGTATTTCTCTTTTCTGCCGTCTGTTAAAGTCTGCTTATAAGTAAATGGTCTCATAAGGTATGGTTTTAAAGCAAATGCTTCATCACCAATTAAGACGTACGAGCAGATTTCATTTTGCCCAGGGAGAAATCTAGGTGCAGGGACACTCATTAAATTTTGTTCAAATCGTTTTCCCATGTTTGAGGTTTTGAAAATACCCCCATCACTATTTTTTCCGAAACCACCAATATCAACACATATAAATTTATAGTCCGGGCCAACAATGGCCATAAGTACTATTGTTAACTTGTTGTTAACTTACCGTGCATTTTGTTCCTCTTCTAAAGCAAGAAATAGAAGTGGCTCCTCTTCTTTTGAAGACGAGCTCATTGCAAAAGGCAAAAATAAAATGTACGCAACCTGTCGAAACCTTCACGTTCGCGGAGCGAATAAGACGCTTTGGTATGAATAAACAGGCGAAACAGATTGCGAATTTCGCTCTGAATTTCGTTGCGAATACTTCGCCGCGATTATTCCGCGCCGGTTTGTGGGATGCTTAAATGTTACCAATGAGAAATTCAAAACATTTCTCTCTTTTTACTACTATGATTGATTATTAGTTTGTGACGAATTCCATATTGAAGGAATGGAAAATTAAATGGTTAAAATATAACCCTAATGTTACATAAGAACGCCTTTCGGAAGCTTGTTTTGATTATCTTCGACATCATCAATATGTGGAGCTCAAGTCAGTTGACGATGGCTCATCATGATGAGAGGCAACGTTGATGATCGAATAGTGATGTCGTTCGGTTGAGTTCACTTCGAGAGTGTCAACAGCAGTAATACGCATTTGTGTTGCTATAGTCAACGCCAAACAAAGTGGCGTGCACGTCATCACGATAAAAATTCCCCGACCTAGGTTTCTATCACAAACAATTGCTCTATTGCAGTTTCATATTAATGTGATATATAAATTGTAAAATGGTCATTACTCTCTTATTATGGTTAATAGTCATATAAACATTGTTATTAAAATATCACATAAGATGCTTTCTGATAAATTTAGACGCATTATGCGAAATAAAATATTTTGCAAACGCTCCAATCACTTATCGACATGTAAACGCACTAAACCGATTTCGCAGCGTTGACACATTGTCACCTTGAAACTTATTTAAACTGGGAACTGACATTTGTATTAATTTTGACACTGAATCAATTTGTGGCATTTCAAATCTTTATAAATCCTTTGGCCCCGCATACTGTAAATCAACAACTGTTTGTTTCAAAACAAAATTATTCATTTTACGAGTAGATAAAGGCAATTTTGGTATATAAAGATGCCCAAACAGTTAAATAGTCGGTGTAAGGAACTCGTGGCCTCGTTAATGCACTACTTTGAGCAAGAAAGGGACAACAACGGGCCTTTGTTGCCTTTAAATGCTGTTCAAGAGGTAGGTTACTAATAATTATATGTAATGTATATTAATAATAGTGAAATTTTATTTCATTTTTTGTAGCGTGTTGCTGCTGCTTTAAAAATTAGTTTAAGGACAGTTAGTCGTATTTCCGAGGGTGTGAAAAGTGATGCAAATTTAGAATCGCCCAAGAAAAAGCGGAGTTATATTAAACGTGTAACCAACACAGCGACATTGGATACAAGTGCCATTCGAGAAGTGATCTATAATATGTATCACAAAAGTAAGATCTTATTATAATAACTTATCAGAAATTTGCATTAATTTGTTAACTAAATTATAATGTCATATTACACATGGTTTCAGAAGAACAAGTTACGATACAAACTTTATGGTCTCGATTAAGAGATAGGGCATTATTTGATGGTAGCGCCACGTCTTTAAGGCGGTTGCTTAGAGATCTTGGATTTAAGTGGCTTAAGGACAACCCGCGACGAGGGCTCATGGAACTACCAAGTATAGCTTTGAAAAGGGTGGAATTTCTAAGGCAATACAATCAAGCCAAGGTTGAGGCCTTATACCAGTTTGTCTTCCTCGATGAAACTTGGATATTTCAAAATGGGACCATAGGTCGCTCTTGGCAAAATGGAAACCAAAAAAGCGTGAAAGCTATTAAAACAGATGGTAAAAGGTATGTACTTTTACACAATTTGCACTATAAAATTTAAAACTAATATATTTTAGATACATTATATTACATGCTGGAAATGAAAATGGGTTTATTGAGGGTAGTGAAGCGATATTTTCTTCGAAAACAAAATTGAGCGATTACCATGGAGAGATGAACCAGGACAATTTTTTGAAATGGATTCAACATCAGTTATTAGAAAAATTGGAGAGTCCATCTATGATTATACTGGATAACGCCCCTTATCACAGCATGATATTGAACAAAGTGCCCAGCAATGCATGGACAAAAAAAATATCCAAGACTGGTTGACAAATCAAAACATACCATTTTTAAACACAATGTTTAAAACAGAGCTATTGAGTATTGTTGCTCGGTACATAATGCTTCTTAATTATATATATTTTGGTCGACAGTTTATATTTCTTTTGTTTATTCCTATTCTTAAAATAACTGCTTTTTTAGAAACAAACCACCTAAAATATACGTGATTGATGAATTGGCGGAACAACATGGGCACAAAGTTCTTCGTCTGCCTCCTTACCATTGTATATTTAACCCTATTGAGTTAATTTGGGGCATAGCAAAAGGTTACTATAACAGACATATTGGTAGAGATGGTAACAGTGAAAAAGATATGTGGAACGAGGCTCTACAAACGGTTACCCCAGACATGTGGAAAAATAGTGTTCGACATACTGAGCAAGAAATTTTTAAATGGTATGAAAGAGAACGAATTTTTGATCGACCAGACATCGAACCTTTAATAATCAACTTTGAGAGTGATGAAGATTCAGATTCAGATAGCGCTGAAGAAAGAAACTCCGACTAACTTTATTGTACAGAAAAAGCTTACACCAGTAGCTTACCTAATTTTAGAATGCATTTTTCTGTATGAATTCTGTAAAATAAATACCATGCATAAAATTTGGAGGACCCCATTTGGATTTTTATTCAGTACCTTTAAGCTATCAATTAAATATGGTAGTTTCATAGTGTCATCTGATCAATAATTGTCATACTTAATGATTATGCAAGTACAGATCTATAATTTTATTATACTATTATTTTTGTTCTCATTCGAGGTTAATATTGCTTATAAACCTAGATATGTAAATAATAGGGTAATTCCGGGAGAGATGGCGCACCGGATGAGATGGCGCAGCGCTATATTTGGCAACATGTTTAACATCAAGACACGACATGTTAGTTATGTTATAAACACTCCTAGAAATAAGTAATGTACGGCGGAAAAAGTGGTTTCTCACGATAATTGGAGTGGCGGAAGCAAGAAAACTAATCGTGAATTTGCAAAATTTTGCATCACGGTACGATCAACAAGAGACTGGTAAGTTATTCCATGATTAAATTTATTTTTAGTGACATAATATTGCTACAGCCGCTTGTAGGAGTGATTCTAACCTAGCACGAAGATTTTTAGTCGTTGCCAGTTTTAGTAATTAAGTGAGCCATCTCACCCGGCATTTTTGGGTGAGACGGTGCACTAAACTGCGGGTGAGTTGGAGCTTTGAATACCTATATATTTTTTTATTCCAGTACCATGCCGACGAAATACAATAGGCGTAGTACGTCTTTACGTGGACAATGGACCAAGGAACAGTTACTGCTAGCCATTGCTGCTGTGAATAATAACTCCATGGGTGTAAATGAAGCTGCAAGACATTTTAATGTTCCAGCAACCACTTTAAGAAGACGAAAGAAATCTGGTAATCTGGTAGTGGGACCTCAGGGGCCGTCAGCATGTCTAGGCATACAAAATGAAAATAAGATTGTGACACACATAAAAAAGCTACAAGCACATGGGTTTGCTCCTACTCGAGAAGACGTCCGTGTTATGGCCTTTAAGTTGGCTGAACAGTTGCAAATAAAGCACCGCTTCAATCATGAATCTGGAAAAGCAGGGTATGACTGGTTACATTCATTCTTATCGCGTCATCCGGGTTTGTCAGTTCGAAAGTCCGAAGGAGTGTCTCTTGCGCGCGCTCAAGGAATGAGACGCAAAGAGGTTGCTGACTACTTTAAGCTTTTGGAAAGAGTCCTTGCAGAAAATCAACTCTTTGAAAAGCATAGCCACATCTTCAACGTGGACGAGACTGGAATGCAATTGAATAACAAACCCGGATTCGTTGTTGCTGCCAAAGGTTCTAAGAATGTAGCTAGCATCACCGCTGCGGAAAAGGGAGAGACCATTACTGTTATTTCATGTTTTAGTGCGGAAGGTGTATATATTCCCCCTACCTGCATTATGAAGGGCAAAAATAAGAAAGCTGAGTATGAAGACGGTCTGCCACCGGGGTCAAAAGTCTACATGAATGAAAAATCCGCCTACATCAATAGTGCTCTCTTTTACCTTTGGCTAAAAGAACAGTTCCTACCAAGGAAACCAGTTGGGACGGTTATTCTTTTGCTGGATGGACATGGATCACATTGTAACAACATTGAAATGCTCGAGTTTGCCAGCAGTAACAATATCATCCTTGTATTCCTACCCAGTCATACGACACAATTTCTGCAACCGTTGGATAGGGGGTTTTTTAAGTCATTAAAAATGAACTATTACAGAGCGTGCAATCTTTATATAAAAAATAACCCTACAAGAAGGTTGACACGGCTTCAGTTTGGAGAACTTCTTGCGTCGGCGTGGGTCAAGTCTGCCACAGTAAGTAATGCTGTGGCAGCCTTTAAGGCAACAGGTATCGTACCATTTAATCCTGAAGCAATTCCGGATGAAGCATTTTTGTCGGAGACCACAGATGTTCAGGATAATGTTAATAATTGCAATAATAACGAACAAGAGATAACAACTCAAGCAAGTATTCTGGATCACCCTCAACCAGGATGTTCAAAGGACAGTCTTCCCCCACCAGAAAGCCCTCCTAAAAATAACCTGACGCCTGGCAAAATGTTAAATAATATTTCTCCCATACCGTGTACTAGTACACCTGTTCAGCAAGTTAGAAAACGCAGCAAACAAGTGGCGTCAATACTCAACTCCGCTGAAAGTATTACAAACAAAAAATCTAAGCAGGAAAAACATCCAAGGAAAATTGTAACAAGGAAAGTGGAAAATAAAAATGAGAAAACACAAAAGGGTAGTAGGCGCCGTCGAAAATTAAATTTGGTTGAAAACACTTCTTCAGAATCAGAAGCGGATGTGTCTTTACATGATTCTTCTTCAGAAGGCTCAGAAGATGAGTGCTGTAGAGGTTGTAATGAGGCATATGCCACAACAAAAAAGCCTGATGATTGGCTAAAATGTATCCGATGTTTGTCTTGGTACCACGAAACATGTTCACGTTATAGTGAGTTATGCAACGGGTGTGCAAAAGCAGTTTTGAATAACGAATTCAATGCCAAGAAGTAAATATTTTATCTTACTATGTGTACGCCATCTCACCCGAAATAGCTGCGCCATCTCAACCGCATCTTCCGGGTTAGATGGATTTTTGTATAATGTCCTTAGAGCTAGCTTTTTATGTTTCTGTATACTTCCTAATTTGAATAATGTGTTTGATATTTGTTGCTTGATAACCAAAGAATAAAAGTTTAAGTTTTGAGTATGATTTGGTCTTTCTTTCGATTTATACAGCTGTTAAAGAAAAAGGTGCGCCATCACTCCCCGAATTACCCTAAATTTAATTATTTTACAAAAAGTTTGGCAACAATGTAAATTTTTCAACACACCCACCTTGATGACGTGCACGCCACTTTGTTTGGCGTTGACTATATTTGTGCTGTAGTTTAAGTTCCATGGTTAGCAAAATAGGTACAAAGGTCTGTACAGTGTCTTACTGACGTTAACCACTTATTATAACCTTATAATCCTATATGGATGCCGAAGGCGCGTAGTCAAGGGTGAGGGAAAGCAGGGTGCATATTTTGATATTATACGGACGCTGCTAAGGTGGTTTCTATGGATACCAAGTTTCATTAACGAAACAACCACATTTTGGCGGCCATAATGTGCCCCTCCCATTCACGATTGATCCACCATGTGATAATTTGATGACTTCATAACCAATAGCTATTCTCATAAGTAATATCATAACGGCATCTAATTTTTCCGAAAAAAAAACATTATATTAATATAATATAATATTTTTTTAACATAAAACATTCATGCAGGTGCAAAAATCCTCGTCTTCGATTCGGATTTTTGTTACCACCAACACTCATGCTTCTTGTTAAAACATTATCTAGCATCGTGTCTTTTCGATTTTTTTCATAGGAAAAAATTAGATGCCCGAATGCTTTTTGACAATACCATTTCATGAGTAACAGCTCATTCTGCATACACATAGCCTACAAAACATAGTACCTATTATACATGCATTTTCACTACATAAGCTGACTAGCACCGTTTAAAAGCAATATGACAAAGCTTATTGAAAATAAATCAGAATTTTTTTTTTCCGTCGTTTTCTGTCATCCTAATTACTTGTTATCAAAGGTATTTTAATTTTTTTTTGGTTTTTTGGTGACAACAACTGTCAAGTTTTGCAGCGGGTAAACTCGAAAGAACCACTGACAGGTGCTATCATAACATTTTTCCACCTAGAAACCATTTGTAATTCAAAATTGCGCGTTTGTGATTGGTAGAAATTAAGACGAGGGAAATAGTCGAACGTAAACACCCTCATCGTTTGGAGCAACTTAAAATCCCCAGGCAGTATCAATTCAATCCAAAAGCAATCATGCCGCTTTGTTTAGAATCGACGTGAAAGACTGAGTGACAAGTTGTCCACGCGGACAGGATCAGATCTTAGAAATCATTTTTTTGGGGTCCATACCGTGAACCGGAAGTAACCTGCTCGACAAAGTGTTGGGGAGGAGGAGCTCAGGATTGATGTTCAGGAACTTCTCGGGGTAGAAGGATTGGTGAGCAGGGGGCGGTAATCTGCAAATTGAAAAGCACGTTCGCATTCACTTAGACTGAGATATTTTGGGGTGGTTCGGACCCCCAGGATACCCCCTGGACCCGCCACTGCACGGGGATGTATTGACTTGACTGTCGTTTATATACTCATTTTAAGTTGGTTCGCAATGAGGTAGTGGTACATTAAGAATGAAGCGGTAACATTCTCACGAAATTTTATTGACAAGTAACTTAACGATGTCGCGATGGTGCCCGTCTTTAGCGTTTTCTGAATACTGCAAGGAAAGCTATATTACTAGAATAAAGGTATAAGTGTTATATATTTGACGATATTATAGCATCTTATATATTCTTTATTTACACCATCCAATCAAAAACAAAATCCTAAGTATCCATAACTATTGTGTTCGTCCCATGACTAAGCTTAGTCAATTTGATCATAGGTATATCTGCAAGGTACTGAGTCGCTGATAATAATAGATTTATTACGTGAGAAATTATACAACCAATAAGCTATCGAATTTGCCAAAAGAAAATCGTTGAAAAGGGTTTGTATCTAGGAATGGGCACTCTACTATTAATAAAGAGAAATTCAAATTACTGATAAGTGACCAGAATATATTCTGGCACGTGACAAATGCCTCAGAACCACAGCTATTCTTAATAACACATAAGACGAGTCACAGAAACAAAAATTAATATGACACCGCAGCATAGTACAATGTTATACAAATATGATTTTTCAAACAATGCTGCTATTATTTAGAGCTCCATGGCATAACCATAATGGTACTCTTTATTGATGTAAAAAAAATAATGTATACATGTTCCTCCATTCAACAGTCACTATACTATTTTGAGCTTTTGTGGTTTCTTAATTTTTCATCTTAATATACTTTGATTTACTAATTTTTGGTCATTTGTAAACGCAAAAAAGAAAAACTCTAGAAATCCAGGGAACATGACGTTTAATGAAAACACTTGTACCTCGTCACAGGACATAGTCGATGCTTTTGCAAAAAAAAATTTCAACTATGTTTATAAATTCTGATTCTTCTAATTCTGAGTTCATGACTTGAAATCTAACTATACTAAGTGACATATAAATCCGAACACCCAGTTTAAATGGTTTTATTTTAATAAAATTTTGTATAAGTACTTAATGAAGCATAATAAGTAAATGATAAAAATTTCAAAATGATTGCACTGTTTTAAAGCCCTTTGACCTTTAATGATGTGTGGATGCACCCTGATGTGCTACGCATTCTCCAACGCGCCTAGGCATGCTTCTGATCAGGTGGTCAATGTCCTCCTGTGGTATCTCATTCCAGGCAACCACCAACTCCTCTCGAAGTGCTTCTAGAGTCTGAGGAGGACGTTGCAAATTGAGTAATCTCCTACCCATCATATCCCGCACGTGCTCAATTGGGGATAAGTCGGGAGATCTTGGTGGCCATGGTAACAATGTGACATCATTATGTTGAAAGAAGTCTATTGTGACTCTTGCAACATGTGGTCGGGCATTATCTTGTTGGAAAGTTGGATCTGCCAGGGTGTCACGATAGGGTAAAAGATGGGGTTCTAGAACTTCGTGAATATAACGCTGCGCGTTCATGTTACCTCTGATCAAGATTAAAGGTGACCTGGAACCATAAGCTATAGCACCCCAAACCATAACTCCAACAGTGTGATGAACATGTCTTTCAACAAAAAACTTTGGATTCCTCCTTTCACCACGTCGCCTTCTAACCCTGGCACGACCATCGTGCATGCCTAAACAAAATCGAGACTAGTCACTAAAGACAATACTGTTCCATTCCTGATCCCAGAGTGACCGTTGTCTGCACCACTCAAGGCGATTACGTCGGTTAAAGGAAGGACCCAGTGTGGCCGGTAAGAAAACAAGCCAAAACTTCTCATTCGTCGGTAAACACTTCGTATGCCAATAGGTCTTCCGTGTTCTGCAAACCATTCATTTGCAATGGACCTGGTAGTGGAGAAACGGTCCCTTAAGGCCAATAATCTTAGGCGGCGATCTTCACGGTCTGTTGTTCTACGGCAGCGTCCAGTGCCCCTTGTTCTTTGCGTACGGCCTTCTCGAAGCCATGCCTGACAACACCTAACCACAGTGTCTACACTTCTTTGCACTCTAACTGCAATTGCCCGAAAAGAAAGTCCAGCTTCCCGAAGTCCCACTATACGGCCCCTATCAAACTCACTAAGTTGACGAAATCGTACAGGTCTCGGTACTCTAGGCATCGTAACCGATCGTAAAGGATGTCAAGAACCAAAATCCGCCAACGTTGATTCTTTACTGCGGCTGAAATATTCATTTTTAGAGCGTTAGTGAATTAAAAAAAAGCAGTATAAAAACCGGAATGTCCAACTGATAAGGCTGAACATTTTTTCACTTGCTATTCACAGTAAGATAAATACATTCAGCAACTTTTATTAAAATGAAACCATTTAAACTGGGTGTTCGGATTTATATGTCACTTAATATAGCATGAATATATCTCTGAACACTGTAAGTGAAGCGGATATAATTCATGCTTCCAGAAAGTTAAAGAATAAAATGACTTCAGGCTATGATGGTGTGCCTAGTTCTTTAATAAAGGATTGCATTCAAGTGTTGGCAAAATCGTTTTGCATGATCTACAATATGATATTATTAACATGCTCTTAATCACCAAGGTATGTCCTGTCTTTAAAAGTGGAGGTTGAAGTAATATTTGTCTCTATAGGCAGATTGCGATACTTTGCAATTTTGGTTATTGAGGTTATTATTTATAATAGCATTTTCGACTCTGTCATATGTACTTTTTCTACGAACCAGCATGGTTCTGTTGCTGGCAGATCAACAGTCACAAATCTGACCTGCCTGACTCAAACTATCTCTGAGGTATTAGATGACCAGGGTCATTTGGATGTCATTTATACCGACATTCAAATGGCCTTTGATCAGATAGATCATTACTTGCTTCTTTCTAAGCTTGAAATGATTGGGTTGTCTAAATCTTTATTGAAGCTTGTCAGATCATATTTATTTTAAATAAATCTGTACGTTGAGTTCGGTAGTTTTAAATCTAATTCGTATACAGCAACATCCGGAGTGCCCCAAGGATCCAATTTGGATCCTTTGTTTTTGTGTTGTTAATCAGCGATCTGTCGCTGGAATTGCCTGGTATGCATCTACTTTATGCTACTGACTTAAAAATTTATACTGCTATCCAGAGCTATCACGACTGTATCTCTGTTCAAAACAGCTTGAACTTAGTGCATTCTTGGTGTTCCAGAAACACTCTTACGGTTAATGTATCAAAGTGTAAAGTTCTGTCTTTTAGTAGGAAGCAAAAAGTAATACGTTATGATTTTAGTATCAATGATCACTTAAACGCAAGAACAGAAACGTTCAAAGATTTGGGTGTTGTATTCTATTTTATTAAACATTTTTGATATAGTGTCATTGCATCTTAGATGTGACATATCAGCCCTACACCTTTTGTACAAAATCATACGCAATCAAGTTGATTGTTAATTCATATTAAGTAAGCTTAATTTTCGTGTGCTTGGGTTGGGAAATCGTACTCAAATTACTTTCTATCCGGTTATTGGTAATACTTATTTAATGTCTAGATCTCCGGTAAATATGATTTGTACATGTTTCAATTCTGTTTGCAGTTCCTATGACTTATTTTTTGATAGTGAGAACTTGGTTATGTGCTACAGACACTGGTACCTTTGTCAGAGAGAGTTTGTTTTTCTTTTCTTAATTTTTTTTTTGTGTTTGGCGTTACGGCTGTTGTTAATTATGTAACTTTTTCTTGTATGTTTTCTGTACTTGGGTTTTACCTGTTGGGAATAAATAAACAAATACTGTAAAATGATTGAAGTATATACATATTATGTCTCAGCAACCTGACATTTCCGGTAACAAAGTGCTGGTCCATATCTTGCAGCTATCTTCCCATTCTTTCACGAAGTGACAACCACAACCCGCCATTAATGCGCCTTTCACAAACTGCTAAGTTGTATAAAAACCATATCCTGTGTTATGCAGCGTTGGAAGTGAGGTTGAAACTTCCAAAGAAATTCGACGGCAAGTTTTAATTAGTCTCTAAGCGCTGCAAAGTACGTCAGCTGTAATTTATTTTATCTTCTAATGTACTCTCGCCTAATTTGTCAACTTTGAAAGTGGACGATTAAACGGATAAGGCTCGAAGTAGCTGTGAAATTGCTGTTCGCTTATCAAATGATTATCCCGCCAGAGATAGAATCAGGAAGATGTGGAAATGAGTCGGTGTCGCTGTATATCAGATTGGTACCGCATCTGTGATTAAGCTTTCGTTTTTTGATTTCAACGGACCCGTCCACGGCTAATGCAAATTAGGACATATGATATTCTAAACAATCAAGGCACACATGGTTTCTATTTACTGATGCTTTCCAAAGATATCCAGCCGACAAGCGCGCAACGTATCCTTTGCTTTGGATACACCAGGCTCGCCAGCCCCGCTTGTCGTGCCGAGTAAGCTAAACATCATCCGATAAACATGAAAATGCACCCAGAACTATTGTCGCAACCAACCAAGCCAATGAATTTTGTGCCGAAAATTTTAGAACATATAGTTTGGCAAACGGATCTGCAACATCGGGGTATCGGTGAGGGGATAGCAAAACATGGCTGGTTTCATTCATAAAATGCCAGCGGCGTGCGGTATTTTATAAAAGTTTGGGATTATTTCATAATTGGTTTAAATTTAGTAAACTATACGTTTATGTTTCACTTTAAATTTGGGAAGTATCTCAATAAGCCCACAATTATATGGAGCATTGTCCATAATAATAAATAAAGTCTCGGGTAAACTCAAAAATAGCTGTTCTCTACAGTCTACACCATGTAAAAAAACACTTGAGTTTGTTTCTACACTTCAGCAAACGGAAAAATGTCTGGTGACTTCTCAAAATAGCCACAATTCAAAAAATCATGATAACTGCGCGATTTAAAACCTAATTTGAAAATCAAGCTAGCGTTTTTGTCAAAGCCGTAAATAAAATATATTTTTCAAATACAAACAGATACTTAACGTGGTTTTTTACCTTGAGATATATATATATATATATATATATATATATATTATACATCCGTGATCTTATAATATGCTCATTTACTTTAAAAAGTGCCACAAGCCGAAATATGACCAGAATTAATTTTTATTTTATAATCAGCATCTTTCTCGATTCCTATTGTTGCAATTTTGGACTGTTGCTGTGGATATTTCTAGAGCATCGGTGTCGCGTAAATAGAAACAAAGAACTTTAAACATATTTCATATCCGTTTAACTTATAACCTCTGTAATAAATAATACTTACATTATACAGCATTTCAAAATTACATTTCACCTATTGAATTAGCATTGGTGTTCGTCAACTTCATCATTATCATCATCGTCACTGCCGTCATCAGTTTCGCTGTCGTCATCTTGCCCTATAGTTATTATAACTGGTTCCATTTCCTCCATAAATTGATCATTTTCGCAAAATTTATCTTCAATGTCCCAAACATGTTGACAAAATTTCTGCCAATCATTAATGGATATTAAGGACATCGCTTCCTGAGTAACTTCTTTCAGTGCGGTTAAACTGAAGTTTCCAGTGGTATTGCGGCTTCTTATATGAAGTTTAAGCTTTGCCCAAGCTAATTCTATTGGGTTTAGCTCGCATAATAAGGAGGTGTACTTAGAGGGGTATGTCCATGTGATCTTATGATCCGATCAACTACATAATTTTTTTGGTTGTCAGGGGGCTTATGAAGTAAGACCAGATCGAACAAGTCAAATTTTCTGGCAGTTGCCTCATGATTTATGCCTATAAAATATTTTATTGTATAGTTTGATATGTACATGCATGTTTTGAGTCATAAGTATCTACCTTTCTTTGTCAACCAGGCCATTATATCTTTTTTCGGAGATGATTTTGTCGGGGTTTTATCTTCCTGGACGGAATGATATGGAGCAGCGTGTTAAATTGTCCCGATTTATCTGACCGTGGTAATCGCCTGTAGCTAATCCCTCCTTAAATAAAAAAAAATCCATTTTCTAAACCTGCATGCACTATAATGAGTTGATCTAAAATATACAAGACGATTATATAATATGTTACAAATCAGAGTTAAATTTAACATATACTTCGAAGTTGAGTCATTTATTTTGACAGTGAGTAGATCTGATCAAAAGAAATGTTTTTCCTTTACCATTTTTCTGGTAAAAGTAAAGTAACAAAGTTATAGCCCTTTGAAAGTTTGAGTACCGCCCTGTCTCAATAATAATATTATGTACTCGTGTTTGGCGACAACGGATATAATCCGCCTTATCGGTTCATCGCATTGGAAACAAAAAAGCGAAAGAATTTTGAACGATGTTTTTACAATTATTTCATTCAGTTGTATACAGCCAGTGTCAGTCGGTAGTGAATAGTGGTGTCTGTTGCGTGGCTCAAACGAAATAAAAAATGGCACATGTTTATGCGGATCGGTTTCCCAATCGAGTGCAACCAACCCCTCGTGCCTTTGTTAATGTAGTACAACGGGTTCGTGAATCATTTGACTTAAGACCTCCCATATGGACGGCATGCCGGTGCTCCAAGACCTCACGATCAAATACAGGTCCGCACTGAAATACTTGTCGGGAGGATACTTTATAAAACAAGGTAATTTTTTATTTTATTTTTACACACATATTTTGGTTTATCTTCCTTCTACATTATCTGAAAATTAATGACTCAACTTCAAAGTCACCCTGTACATAGCATTTTTGCTTACCTGTAGAACCTATACTGATTATTAGACCAGAAACAGTTTTGCTCTGCCAGCAAGTCAAGTCATTGTCCACCCAGGTTTCGTCCAAATAAACAATATTGCGCCCTTCTTCACGATATCTAGGTATTTCACGGATGTATTTGTACCTCCATTGCAATATATTAGGCCTCTCCATCAAAACTTTTCTTTTATTTTGACATTTGCGCCAAAAAAAAACCATTTGATTTTAATAAACTCCTGAGTGTTTCCCTAGAATAGGGGAGATTTGAGTCTTCTCGCAACTTTTGTAATAACTTCCTAGTTGTCGGGACAACTTTATATTCAAGATAAAATCTGTTTATCAAATCTTTAATAATCTGAAAATCAAAATCTTCATCCTTCTCAACAAGAGACTGACGCGGTCTTTTTTTCCCGGGACTGGATAACATTTTATTGGGGTTATTTTCTAGTCTTTCTTTATCTTCGTTATGAATTTTCCTAACAGAAGGTATTCCGACTCCGGTATAAAGGGACACCCTATCAAGCTTACGTTTAAGCAGTAACTTGTGGGAATTGTTTGCCGCTTCCTCATCGCAAACCCTATAAATAATCATCAGAATGTTAGCTTAGCATTTCCTTGTTTTTTATTTATATTCAGACTCAGTCGTCAAAAACTACAATTATTGCATACTATTATTACTAACCTATAAACATTCGCAATCACTTCTCTTGTTTGGCTATGAAGCGTCTTTCCGCGAGTAAATTGGTTCATTTTAAAAAAATAATACTAAAACGAATAACAATAACAAATAACAAAACACTAAACTATTCAAAAACACACAGCACTAAACATACAAACTTAATAGAACAATAAATAGTTAACAATAATAGTTGTAAAACTCATACACGACAATCAACGGAGATAAAACCTACGCCACTGGACTTTTCAATAGTATGAATATTATAAGAAAGGAGCCAAAAATTTTCTGGGACGCTACCCAATAGGGAGTCAAATTTTCTCATGGCGACAAAACATGTGAGGATATCCGCCAATCAGATTCGTTCAGGCGATGTCCAATATACCTTTCGGGTGGTTGTTGCCAGCTCAACCGATGTAGATAAGATCTTTGGAAAAATGTTTACTTATAATACGATTCAGTAGTAAAAAATAGTTATTAAATACAAATAGAGCTAACAACCCATTAAAATACTCAGTATTTTGAATTATTATTTTTTGGAACTGTGAAAAATCGATTTTCAAATCATTGAATTTACTTCATTATTGCTTTTTTGTAGTTAAATTTGGCAACATCGAATATTTTCGGTCGCATTCCTTTCGCTGTTGCAGATCCGTTTGCAAAACTTTACGTTGCTATGACAAGCAGTAAATCCATCAAAGATGAGTGATTTGTAATCATTTTCGCTACCCCACCCTCAAATTCAAGTAAATAAAAATCTGAAAATTTTATAGTACATACCTACTTTTATACTGACAAGAATGGGGTCTTCTCGAAATTAGGTCGTAGCTGTCATCCAAAATGATTCAAGCACCATCAAATCTTGCAAGTATTTTTGACCTCGAAGCTATGCTTCGCCTGCGCTTTATAACGAAGAGCACCAGTAAACGTTCTTTATTTTGTAATATGTGTGTAGCTTGCAACAAAATGTACAAGGCCTCCCAAACCCGAAAGATTTCACAATCTACTACAAGTAACTAATTTTACTATCACTTGCGAAATTGATGATCGGAATAAGATCTCGCCAAGCGGAGCGCCTACGACCTGGACTAGCAAGATTCAGTTTCCGGTACGAGTGAAAGAAGTAAAATCTTGTGATCTCTGCAGTAATTAAATTACTCCCAATAGGGTAATGTGGAATCAGTTCGTACGAAAGTACCTTTGCAAAGTATTTGATTCCCTCCAGACCTTGTCGAAACGTTATGTACGTTGATGGAATTTCACCTAGGGAAATCGCTTAATGAAGTTCTAACGGCATTTGTTCATTTAAAATGCAGTCAGAAAATTAATTAGTTACATACTTCCAAGCTCTGCTGCTCGAAACTTTAATAATATTTTCTCATACAGTTCTATTCCCCCAAGGTACATCCCCACCAGTTAATTAAAAATTCAAATAAAGTGGCTATATTAAATATTCTTAGGACTTCTGTGAAGCTTGGACTATTTAAATATTGATTAACTGAGACCAGAGCGCAGTTATTCAGTAGCTTGTACTTCGCAATCTTTTAAATAGATTCGCAGCGAGATATTGTAAAAACAATTCTGAGCTAAACAACTAATGCCGTTAAGGCAGACTTACGGTACACTCTGCTATAGAAAATAAATGCTCTCTTGAACATTTTATTTACTTAGGTATTTCATCACCTATATCACCAAACAGAATAAGCATCAATTGAAAGCTAGGGCTGAAAATGACTTGGGGCGGTGTAAGTGACAGCTCTCGAGAGATCGGATAGACATGTTCATAACAAAACGCAAACGGGCAATAAACTTTATTGACTCTTACCTGAAACAGTAAAACACATATAAAGGGTCTGGACATTCTCTTTGCAAGGCAGCCAAGAGACTCAACCGCCCCGTCACACCGAATTCCTTCAATAAAGAAGGATGGAGAAGCTCAACTTTTTGTAGAATATTCGGCTTTTACATTCCAACCAAACCGGACAAATTATTATTCTGCTTCTGGACCTGCTGCTGACAATATGTCGAAAAACAATGGCGCCTTACCCAAATAGACCTAGAATGTTTACAAAAGTTCTTCCCCCACAACAATCACTCTTTGTTGCGATGTTGCCAAATAAGTTGGCCCCACGGTCGTTTTGACATTGGCCCCATGACATTCACAACTAGCCAAGTGTCCTATTTCTGTTGCAGAAAGGTTCTTCTAGAAGAAATTTATCTATATTCTTATATATCTATAATAATTTATAGAACAAGTGAAGAATACGCGAACTTTAATACAACTCGAGGTATAATACAAACCAGAGTATTTTCTGTAATTTTTATTTTGTTTGTAAGTCGCCTTAATCCGTGTGATTTTCTTGTATTTTTAAGTATTCTTTAGACATTTATTGAATTATGGTGGGATAAAAGTATTTTTGTGTGAAGTTGTTGCTGGCGAAGCAGGAAGTGAGGGGATATCTTCTCACAGGTAAGGTTATGTTTACGATTCTACTCATTGGCGTGGCGTGCGTCATTCCTCCAAGGTATTTAATTATTTTGGAGATCATCTTTTTGAGGACGACCCATTAGATGGCCATGCAATAACTTTGGTGAAAATAATACTCAAAAAATATTTTCAGGTTAGGCTTCATTACGAAGTATCCAAAAAAAATTGAAACCGAATAGAGTAAGTAGCATTTACACCAAAACACCAACAGTTACAGTCATCACAGATTAATTTTAAAATCGACAAAGGTCTTTTTGGCATACACCCTATAAATAATTTTACGGTAACTGTCCATAGACTACGTTTCTGTTTTCTGATCTTTGCAAGACCGCCATAGATTGATTCCTTTTTTCTAATGAATTGCAATTGGAGCATTAAATAATTCATCTCACTTATATCTTGCTAAAGAAATATAAATAATTGAGAGCTTTTTACAATGTTTCATAGATGTTCATATTTTGCATGTAGGGAACCTGGTATTGCTTCTTGTTTTTTGTCAACAACTTTTTGTAACTTGAAATTGAACTACTACTCACACTTCGAGGTTACTGAAAGGCAGAATAACTTCACACAAAAGTGAGGCCAGATAACATCCAGAGAGATGTGCTTTGGCATCTCATATTAACAATACTCTATGAATTAGGGCAGTATTGAGGTTCTTGACAAAGAAAAAAGACTCCCAAGACGTTTATTTTTAGAAATATCCCACATTTTCAAGAGATATCATTGCATGAACAAAAAGGCTGACGTTAAGCAGCTTAGTGTCATTTATTCCTACCTGTTGAATTGCGAAAAGCGAGAACGGCTACATATCCAAATCGAACAAACATCGTCCCAAGATTAGAATACATTTCCAATTGGTATCCTGGTAATTGAAATTTCTCACTCACAGTCTTTAATATAAACTCACATAACCCATCTTTTCAAGTGTGTATCACTATCTCACATTCGTACACTCATATGAACTACACATTTTTCCAAAACAAATTAATTCAGCACTTTAGCAATTTGGGTGGAGGCTTACCGAGCGTCCCTCGTATACTCCATACCCAAATTGGACAATGAGGTTTACAGTTCCACGTTCCCTCGCGTCAATCACTTGTCATCTGTGGACGCTTTATCTTTCCGTGCCGTCCCCCTCTCCACGTGTTGCGGAAACAGAAGGTTAGAGACTGCGTTCCAATTGTTTCAACAAAATGTCGTCTCACGTGTAATATTATTAACTTGTTCGGGTGGATTGATATTTTTAATATTTAACGAAGGTATCTGTCGTTTTACAACAAACCCAATGTCCCCGACCTTTTGTTTTTATGCTGATTATAAGTTCGATCTTCTCTACGTTCGTTCTGAAACACCTTGTGGCTGCAACCTCACCGACGAGTAAGTTGTCTGAGAATTTAAATCTGTCTTGTTTTCTTTGCTGGCATCACAACTGTGTTTTCAGAATCCTGATGAAGGCTCCATAAAGAATGCCGAAAGCTTGATTTTATCGTCAAAAGAGTCAACTTAAGCCTAAGAGTTTTGCCAATTTCCCAATTAACAATTAATTGTATTATGTATATATACAGGGTGACTTCGAAGTTGAGTCATTTATTTTAACAGTGAGTAGATCTGATCACAAGAAATGTTGTTTTCCTTTACCATTTTTCTGGTAAAATTAAAGTAACAAAGTTATAGCCCTTTGGAAGTTTGAGTACCGCCCTGTCTCAATAATAATATTATGTGATCGTGTTTGGCGACGACGGATATAATCCGCCTTATCGGTTGATCGCATCGGAAACAAAAAAGCGAAAGAATTTGGTACGATGTTTTTACAATTATTTCATTCAGTTGTATACATTCAGTGTCAGTCGGTAGTGAATGTGGTGTCTGTTGCGTGGCTCAAACGAAATAAAAAATGGCACATGTTTATGCGGATCGGTTTCCCAATCGAGTGCAACCAACCCCTCGTGCCTTTGTTAATGTAGTACAACGGGTTCGTGAATCATTTGACTTAAGACCTCACATATGGACGGCATGCCGGTGCTCCAAGACCTCACGATCAAATACAGGTCCGCACTGAAATACTTGTCGGGAGGATACTTTTTGGAAATTTTTTTTTATTTTTTTTTTATTTCTACACACATATTTTGGTTTATCTTCCTTCTACAATCATTATCAGAAAATTAATGACTCAACTTCAAAGTCACCCTGTATATATATACAGTGTGAGTCTTCATAAAGTGCACATATCAAAATCAGGGAAACTACACTCTATTTCATCGACGGATAAATCATCAAAAAAAAATTAAAAACAATACTTGATTTTTTATGAATATTTTAAAATTTTTAGAGTCAGCTACTAACCCTATTTAAATAAGTCGTTACAACTTTTAAACTGAATGTCCTATCATATTGGAATAAATTTTGTAGTGACTGCAAATAATAGGCCGTACCAGTAAAGTGAAAATGTCCACGAAATTAAATGCCATAAATTTAAAATAAAGAGGAATATTCTGAAACTCACTATTTATTCAATGATTTTCAAAACAATTGCTAAATTTCAATAAAAATTGTCCTATTTACCTTTTTTAAATGTTAAGTTATTCTACATGTTATTAGCTTCCTAATGGTGAAAAATTGCAAGTTTATTACTTAGATACAAGTTTTTAAATCAGCGTTTCAAAAAGCAGTGAACTCAGTTCAACGCCAGAGTAGGAATAAAACAACAGTATTAACCTACATGAATCATTCATTATCTTTAACAAATAAAATCAAATAGACTTATCTATAGGATAATCATTTTGGGTTAATGCATCAAATGTTACGCCATGATGTAACGCCAAACGTCTCGTACTAGTAGTCGGGTCAGCAAACAAATCATCCACAATGGCTTCTTCGATAGCAGCATGAATAATAACACCTGGTTCGCGGCGATCTCGAGGCAAACCAAGTCCAGTGTTAGCCAGTCTTCTATGTACTTCTTGGAAGTTACGGGCTGATGGAACAGGGCGTCGATTTGGAAATGCAGCTAGATAAGCTGTACAAGCAGCTCTAGCACTCCCTCGGTATTTTTCATAATAATAATGGATATCGGCAATGTGTGCCGGAGGGAAATCCCTTATACGTGGCATCGCGACCAAAAAGCGAAAGCGTGATATATGTAGCAAACGAAACTGATAAAGTTGGCAGGAGAAACACAAATAGCTGCCCAACTGCCCAACATTCAATTGTTTTTCAACTGGACGCGCCTCCCCACTCGTACTTCAGCCCGCGCGACTCTACATTGAATCACCAAAAAAAGGTATCTACATGATAAACAATGGTGCCTAGCAAGACGATGCGCATGGGCTTTTTTATAAACACTCATAGAAACTGTTACATTTGAGTAATAAACGTGCAATTTTCACTTTTATAAAGCTGATAACATGTAGAATAACTTACAAATAAAAAAAGGTAGGGTACAAGAGACGATATTTGTAGAAAATTTGAAACTATTGTAAAAATGATGAAAAAAAAAACAGATTTTCATCAAAATTTTCTTTATTCTAAATGGATGTCATTACTTTTCCTGGAATTCTTCACTTTTCAGGCACGTCCTTTTACCAGCAATCACTACAAAATGTATTCCAATATGATAGGACATTTAGTTTAAAAGTTGTAACGAGTTATTTCAATATGGTTAGACGCTGCTACTTAAAATTTTAAAATATTCATATATTCATAAAAAATCAAATTCATGTTTTTTTGATGATTTATCCGTCGATGAAATAGAGTGTAGTTTCCCTGATTTTGATATGTGCACTTTATGAAGACTCACACTGTATATATCCTACTAATATCATAAATGCGGAAGTATGGATGGATGGATGTATGTTTGTTCTTCAATTACGCCAGAATGGATGAGCGGATCTGAATGAAACTTGTCACACAGATAGATTATAGCCTGGAATAGCACATAGGCTACATTTTATCCCAGGAAAGACCTTCGAAATATCTATTTCAAGAGTTACAGTCAAAAATGCTTAAATCTCAGTTGGCCATGTCGCGGGGAAATGTCAACCTGACACCCTCAGCTGTTCGTTCGATTTTCGCCACGGCCAACTGAGATTATTTTAATGTAAAATCCTTATATGGAGCAGATGGAACGTATACTACTAATCATAGTTGTGTGAATTCAAACAAGCGGATGTGTCTTTGCTACTCTGTTACGCCAAAATGACTAAACGGATATGGGAGAGGAGAGGGGGGGGGGAGTACAGGACTTCAGTTTATGTACATGTATGTCAATTCGTAGGAACAATTCTCCGGATTGAATGTTGAAGAGCGCGGGGTGAGGGCAGGGAAGCTTGAAAAGGTGGGTATATTTTTTGTTGACTCATTTCCTATCAAGAATGTCAAGAAAATTTTATTTTGCATTGATTGATCTCCATATAAAATATGTAAACCATCAAATAAGCATTTTCTTAAGTAGGTACTGTGTTTTATTACTTCTATATTGGGGTCTAGTACCTAACACAAAAGGCACACACTTTGCTATTTTTGTTTACAACCATAAACTGAAAGCATATGTGTAAACACACCTCTTTTTTTGCATTGATGGCCGATGATTAGAAGTTTAAAGAGCGGGGGAGAGGAGGGGGTTGCTAACAATGTCGTTCGAAAGTATTACGTATTCCGTATGGTTTGGAAATAGTAGGATATTTTTCGTCCACATGATTTTTGTTGTATACACC